GTCTTGCTAGCTTCTATTATAATTCTTCTGAACTCATGTAGCTAACTGTAACCTTGTAGTTACTGCCTTTACAAACCTCTCCCACTTTGTAGTCCAGCAGGACACAATGCAAGCGCTTCTTGAATCTGTGTCTCCGGGCTGCAGTCCTAACAAGCCCCAAACAAACACTTTTTGATTTTTTTTTTTTTTTGGCTGCATTCATTGCTGTGTATGGGCTTTCTCTAGTTGCCGCATGGAGGGCTAATCTCTAATTTCGGTATGCGGGCTTCTCCTTGTGGTGGCTTCTTTTGTTGAGGCCCCGGGGACTTGGTTGCCCTGAAGCATGTGAGATCTTCCCAGACTAGGGGTCGAACCCATGTCTGCTGCATTGGCAAGTGGACCAGCAGGGAAGTCCCAAGTTTTTATTTCAGTCAGGCGTCTGTTTCTAACATTTGCGTTAACACTCCCACAGATCAGACTTGCTGCGTTTCTGGGAGTGTCCCTTCCTCTCCAGTAGAGACCCAACCCCTGGACCCGAACTCTTATGTTTTGTCTTCAGGCCTGAGGTTTGCCAGGCATTATAGAAACCACTTTCTCTGCACAGTCCACCGCTGGCCTTCCTCCTGCCCTACAGGTGGGGAGCCCCGGGCCACTATGAGAAACAGAAGAATGAACGGCCCCCAGCAGCTCTCCCCAGCTGGGAGCGAGTGCCTAACCTGGAGCTGTGGCACAGCCGTCCTGCACCCAGGCGTTCAGTGCAGAAGCTTGCCCCAAGCTGGAGGGTGACCAGGAAGAGAGGCACCTGGGCTCGCTCCATGGGATGAGCAGTGCTGACAGTGACTTGTGGAGGGAGTGGGGCGGGACAGTCTTTTCCTTACATCTGTACCTCTTCCTCACCTCCTGCAGGCCCTGAGTAAACCTGGGCACCCTCTCCACCTCTTCCTGGTACTTGAACCCACACAAGTCCCTGCTGGGCACTGGGGGACAGAGAGCTGACCTTTCCCAGGATGGCTGAGACCTCCAGTTCCTGCAGTCATGGGCAGATGGAAAACTTCTGCAGAATCTTCCACCCAGACAGACCTCAAGCTCTCGTGCTCTTGTCCAGAAAGTCTCATTTCTTAAGGGGAAACACCTCATAACTTTTTTTTTTTTTTAATAGATTCTAGGCCTGAGGAAATGTTTGGGAAAGACCTCCCTGTTTCAGCTCTGCCAGATGAAGGCTACACCCTCCCTGGCTGGCTCGGCAGCTGCCTCTGCAACGCAGCTCCCAGCAACTCGCTGAGAACTGGATAGCTTCCAGAAGGATCGGGAGAGTCAGACAGGAGGTCAGTGTCTCTTACCAGGGTCAGGACACAGTCTTTCAAGATAGGAGGATGGAGTCCCTGAGGAGAGTCTGCACTAAGCCTAGAACAGACCACATTTTCTTTCATAGGACACAGAGCCACCCTCTGCTTAGGAGGTAGTGCTCCAAACCCAAACTCTCCCCCGCACAATGTAAAAGCTTGGGTGGGTTCAGGCTTCCCGACTTTGTTCTGAGAAATGAGATAAGAGGGAGAATTCAGCTCCTTCCTTCAGCTCCAGAGCTCCAGCTGCTGGTGCAGGGAATCTCCTAATAGCTGATCCCTCCTCAGTGGAGACCACAGTCCAAAGTCCTGGGTCTTCATCAGTGACTCCCTCCTCTGTGCTCGAAGGGGTGGTGATCATGGGACACTGCAGCCACTTGCCTGTCTGACCTGAGCGCTCTGGTCTCTTCCCATTATCTCCTGAAGCACCAGGGAATGTAGCAATAGCCAGCCTTTCTAGCAGACTTGTTTGTGTTTTGAATCTCAATCTATATGGCTCCTTGAGGGCAGAAATCTGGCTGGTTACAATCAGAGGGAAATAGTGGTCCAGGACGTTGCAGTTTAATTCATTTCATGCTGAACATCAAGGAAGATGAGATATACCACATGGAACGCGGTGGCACCAGAGCAGACATGTAGGGTTTTCTCCAGGACTTGTGAGTCTGACTTTGGCAACTGGGGAGATTGTGTGTCATTCACTGAAATGGAGGATGCAGGTAGGAGGAGTAGGTACTGTGGTGAGGCATGTTCATTTGGAGGCTGGTGGAATGTGAGGTGCAGTAGATCATCCAAGTAGAAAGGTCCAATGTATAGTTAAATACAGGGTCACTCTCAGGGTTGAGGAGGGAGAAGTCAGATCTGGAGGTGACTGATGGTGGTGCTCCCAAATCTGTAAACCATGAACTTTGGCTGTGGCTATTCAAGGACCTTGCACAGACCAGAAGAGCTTGGAGACAGGATGGCGCCCTGGGAAAGAAGAACAGGGGAAGGAGCTCCAGGAAAAGAGACTGAGAAGGAGAAGCCAGGGAAGCAGAAGTGAAACCAAGAATTGTTTTTTTTTTTAAAGCCAGTGGAGTGCAGAGTTTCAAAGAAAGAAGTCAGCAAAGTCAAATACTAAGGATTGCCAGTAAGATCAAACCTAGGACTGTCCTTTGGACTTGGCCACACGAAGGTCAAAGGCGATTTTGGGGAGAGCATTTCAGGGGTGGGTCAAGGAGGAGCTAGATGGCAGGGAGTACAGAAAGGGGACGAGGACAAGGACACAGATCACTATGTAGTTCACAGGACTGATGATGGGGGAGGGGTGGGAAAAGCTGAGCGTCCTTACTTGGGAAAGAGAAGAACCATGGTGAGGGAGTGGAAGGTAAAACAAAGAGGACAATGGATGCAGGATCGTGGAAGATGAGAGGATGCAGGCTGAGTGCCCCGCCTCTGTGGAGACTTGTAGGTGATGGAGAAAACTGAAGAAGTTATTTTCCTCTGTGAAGTAGGAGGTAGAGACATCTGCATAGGGTAGAGTGGGAGGTGGTGGGAAGGAGTTGAGGAAAGAGGTGAAAGTTAGGAATGTCATTGAAAGGAAGTGGAATGAAAGTGAGCAGAGATTCACAGCATTGCCTCAAAGTGTGACAGTCCTGCCGAGGTGGGAGACCGCGAATTCCCAGCTCCTCTATGCAACATGGGGGCTTTCCTGGTAGCTCAGACAGTAAAGAATATGCCTCAAATGTGGGAGACCCGGGTTCAATCCCTGGGTCTGGAAGATCCCCTGGATGAGGGCATGGCAACCCACTCCAGTATTCTTGCCTGGAGAATCCCATGGACAGAGAAGCCTGGTGGGCTACGGTCCATGGGATCACAAAGAGTCAGACATGACTAAGCAACACACACACATACGCACACACTACACAACACGGTCATGAGGCTTTCTCCTTCTTCATGGACAGTTTACCACATGGCAGGGCAGGCTTCCCCAGCATCAGAGTATTGCTGGGCAAAGCGATTTAATAGCAGACCACAGGCTCTGGGCTGGGATGAGAAGTGAGGGCCCACACAAAGGAGCTGCGTGAGCAGGAGAGACGGAAGAGTTTGTAACGTGCACTGGGAGTGGAGGAGCTGAAGGATACAGGCAGTCAGATGCCGGATTGTGGCCTTGCAGAGGTGACCCTCCCAATGACGGTGGGCACCCACGGGAGCGTGCTGGTTTGTGGAGAGGAGGTGAACGCCCTCAGAAGTGAGGAGGCCATGGGAGGACAAAGCTAGGGCATCAGACTTCTCAGACACTGGGCCGATGGTGGGAGAAGGGAGAAGATAGTAGGCCAGGCACTCAAGTCCTCAGTGAGCGCAGGGAAGAAAAACAGGAAATCCAGAAGAGATGGATTATCTGAGTGGATGGGAGAAAAGATGTCTGGGAGCAGACCCGGCCTCTCAGATATGCATAATGGGATCTTGGGAGAGGGGAGACCTCATTTGCAGGGGAGAAAATTCTTGAATAGCACTTTGAAACCTCTCTTAAAGATCAGCAGTGGAGGTGGGGGTGGAGACACTGAGGATTGGTCACAGCGGGAGGGGGCATCAGCCCTTTGGTCAGGGTGAAAGGTGGCAGAACAGGAAAATTGGGATCCTAGCCAGCCTCAAGGGATTAAGGCTGGTTTCTGTGTCCTGGGGGTTGGGGATCGAGGCCAGATGCCACTTGCTGTCTGAGGCTCCAGGGTCCAGAAAGACCCTGGTGAGAGGCTGACTGGTACTTAGACAGGCTCTTCCTGTGTGGAGGCAAGTACACAGACCCTGGGGGGCGGGGGGGNGGTGGGGGGGGGTCGTGTGCTATTTCCCCCTGGACTATTCCTCCTTAAGAGGAAAACTGATTTTATCTCCGCATCTTTCCTCTAAGCTTAAGCACCTACTTGTAAATGTTTTTTCAGCCAGCCGTGCCTCATGTTTTGGTCTTATTTCCCCATCAGCAATGGAACCCAGGCTGCCTACAGTGTAAGTGCTGGGTCCTAACCACTGGACTGCCAGGGAATTCCTAGAAATCTGTTTTTGAGAAGGAAGAAGGGGAGGAAGAGGATTGTTACAACAGAGAAGACTGGTTAAGTCAGAAGAGGAAAGGCGTGTTGATCGGCATCAGAGTCCAGCACTGGCCTCGAGCTTCCTGGGTCCCTCACCCATCTCCCTCCCTGGAGGAAAGCTCACCTTATCCGCTAACCTTCAATTCCTGCAGTCTTCATCTCTAATACTTAGGCTCATTAATATTTACTTCTGTGAAAAGCCAGGAAGATGGAAGGCTATGAAGCCTGTGCCAACAGGAGAGGCATGGGGTGGGAATAAAAAATTTTTTTTTTACTCAGTACTTTTCCTTATGTGTACCCGACTTTCTGGTGTGTTAGGAATGAGAGTTTGGCTTCTGTTTGGAAAAGCAAACAGTCAAGGTCCTAAGTACCCAGCCATCAGCTGAACACAAAGTCCCTGTGACCTGCCTCAGTTCCGCCCATTGCCCCAACTTGCAGCTGAAACTCTGATCCCTAAAGGTGTGCAAAAGGAGGTGGGGCTCTACCCTGCCAGTCAGATTCAGTTTTCTTCACTTTGGTTCTCATCTACCCAGCCAATTCCGTAAGAAAACAGTTTTCTGTCTTTACTTTTAACACCAATCTTGGTAAAGCATCAGAAAAGAGACAAATCACACACTTTTCAGAAATCACAATTTTATAAAAAGGCATTTTTCTCTTATATCCATAAAATGATATAATTTTTGCAAGTATAGAAATGTGTCATAAATTATACAGAATGTTCCTTAATTACAGCTCAATGCAACTTGATACTTTCCTCCCTCCCTAAAAAATGAGAGAGAACCAAAAAAATAATATATATAACTGTATATATATATATATATTTATATTTATATAATATAGACAAACCAAATATGAAAAAAAATCATTTCTTCTTTGGTATAAAAATCAGACTCTCACCTTGAGAGACACACAAACAGACATGATGTTGAATTTGTAAACCGTGTGGCCAAAAGGAATTTCCCTGTCAAGCTTTCCCCACCCCTGTCCCCTGCCCACCCACCCGCCTCACCATAACACCTCCAATTCCCATGGGACTACCACATCCCTCACTCCCAGCTCCACCCCATTCCTGAGTAACCCCTCCACTACCAAAGACAAGGAAAAAGTTCTGCCCAAGGTGATTTGGGGGCAACTAACTTGGGAGACACCTAACTAGGGGAAGAGCTCGTAGGTGTGGACTGTGGAGAGGAAAGACTGCCGAGCCGGGGCTCTGCTGTCCAGACCGGGCCCGGCACCGAGTCTCCTCTGCCTTCCCCCACCACCTCCTGCCGGATGCCGGGCCTGGAGCGGGTGGGACCCCTGTTGCCAGAAGCAGCAGCAGAGGTGGGCTTCCCTTCAGCCTCACCTCCCGGTGCTCAGCTTCCCGTCCCAGGCCGCCTCAGGTGCCGAAAGACACCAACGAGGAGGGAGAAGGGAAGTCAGAATGGACTCTGCCCATGAACTTAGGTCTAAATTCGCAATTACAGAAAATGTTTTCAGGACGACTTTTCACACCCAGCTTTGGGTCACTGAGAAGGACGGGGCCACTCTCCCAGGCTCCAGTCCGGTACCAGCAGGACTTACGGAATCCAGGAGTTAGCTGTGTGGGGCGGGAGGGAGTGGGGGAGGGGGCAGCACATCACTCTCAAGGTGAGGAAGGAGACAGGACCAAACAGCCCTGTATATTCTCCCAACACCCTCTGGCTGATGGGCAGCTCCCTCCCGGGTCAGCCTCGGGGTCCCTCAAGGGCACCAGCTGCTGAAGGGCTCCCCCCAAGCTGCTCCCCTTCCAGCCAGGCTGGGGTACACCCGGGGCTGCCGGCCTCCTCTTCCCCCAGAGAGTTAAGACACCAACATAACATAAAAGTCACACAAAGGCCGCCTCCACTTGCCAAATTAAAAAAAAGACGAAACCAAACTGGACACAAACACAAATCAAAGAGAGACGCACACCCTGTGAGGGGCCCAGGCCCCGCAGGTCTCTGGCTTCCCGGCATGATACATTCTTGTGTAATTCAGGAACGGGGCCCTGGGGCCCCTCTGGGGAGCGGGAGTAAAAAAATACAGAGATTACGGTCTCCCTGTGGGCTCCCAGGCAGGGCAGGGCAGACACAATCTCTCACAGTTTTTCTACTGCTTTTGGGTCCACATCTGAGCCCCTAGTGGGGGCTGGTGGCCAATATCCCAGCCCCACTCTGTGATTGGGGCCCGCCCCCTCTGCCCTCCCAGCTGCTCAGAGGGCCCTGGGCTGGGGATGCCCCAGCCGCTCCTAGCAGGACCAGCAGGACAGAGTCTACCAGGAGAGAAGGGATGAGGACCTAGGCGAGGAATGAGGACCCGCAGCTCTGAGACAGACGCTGTCCTCTGGGCGGCCGGCCGGCCAGCCCCGCGTGAGCTGACTGATCACCGGCACGGAGCGTCCGCCTTCTGGCCTTCACCCCTTGAGGGGCTTGTCGGCCCCTCCGCTGGGGCTGCTGGCGCTGTCACTCTTCTTCCTGCGGAGGCTCTCGATCCAGCTGGAGCTGGAGCGGGTGGTGAAGGTGGAGAGCGCCAGGGAGCTGAGCCGCATGTTCTTGCCAGACATGATGAGCTCCCCGAAGCCCTCCTGGTGGGAGAAGGCGTAGCCAGAGCGCCGGGACCCAGTGCGGCCCACCCGCCTCATGCAGCGGTGCTGGGCCTTCTGCTTCTTCCTCACCAGCTGGGTGTAGCGGACCTGGCAAGAGTGGGGCAGCATGAGGGAACGAGCCTCTGTCAGCGAGCGAGCATCAGACACTACCTCTGAGAAGGGACCCAGAGCACGGAGGACTGGGCAGGCCCGGGAACCTCCCAGACAGCACAGGCCTCACCACCCACACACTTGACAGAAACTGCAGCAGTGTTTAAGCCCGAGGGCCTTGGGACGCACCATCTCCGATCCCCAAAGCAGACAGCCCGGCCTCTCACCGTGTCCGAGAGATCCGGCTTCAGGTTCAGCCTGAGAAACCGAAAGGCGACCACAGGCATGATGCAGACGACCGTGGTGAGCACGATGGTCAGCCACACTGTCGGCTGGGCCAGGGTGTTCTGGGCATTACCTGGGAAAAGAGGGGCCGGGGGCTTCAGGAGTCACAGAGCAGGCATAAGGCCAGCCCCTTAGAGCTCCCCATTTCCTTTTTTGGCAGCCCCACTTTCCCAGTCTCAAAACTTAAGTCATCTCTGGCCTCTTTCTGCTCCCCAAATGTTTATCTCCAAATTGGATTCCAGCTCCAAACTCTCCCCAAACGACTTCAGATTTGCTTTTGTTTTTGTGGGGTTTTTCTGGCTGTGCTGCACAGCATACAGGATCTTAGTCTCCCAACCAGGGATGGAATCCATACCCCTTGCAGTGGAAGTTCGGAGTCTTAAACCACTGGACCATCAAGGATGTCCCCAGACCTGTTTTTTTAACTGCCTTAACCTGACATCTCAGCTCATCTCAGTTTCACAAAGCTCAAAGTAAACTACTGTTTCCTCTCTTCGCAATTTTCTCCACGTCTTCCCTGGCTCAGGAGACGCTTTCACCCACTAAGCTGCTCCAAGTAAAAGCTCTGAAGTCAACCTGGTTCCCACCCCCACCATCTCAGGCCCCCATCCAATCTGTCAGCTCCATTTCCAAAATACCTATGGGATTCCACCACTTTTACTCTGCTCCAAGCCACCATCATTCTCACCTGCTACATTACTGCTACAGTCTCCTAGCTAGTCTCCCCAGGTTTCCACATCTGTCCTCTTTTTTAAATTTATTTGGCTGTGCCGAATCTTAGTTGGGGCATGCGGCATCTAGTTCCCTGATCAGGGATAGAACCCGAGCCCCCCACATTGGGAGCTCAGAGTCTTAGCCACTGGACCACCAGGGAAGTCTCTGTGCTCTACCTTTCATCATTCACAAAACAGGAAGAGTGAGCCTTTAAAAACATGAATCAGTTTATGACATTTCCCTGCTCAAAACCCTCTAAAATCCAAAGTTCTGGGCTTCCCTGGTGGCTCAGTGGTAAGGAATCTGCCTGCCAATGCAGGAGATATGGGTTTGACCCCTGATCCAGGAAGATCCCACATGCCTCGGAGCAACGAAGCCCATGCGCCCCAACAACTGAGCCTGTGCTCTAGAGACTGGGAGCCTGTGCTCTGCAACAAGAGAAGCCGATGCACTGCAACCAGAGAGTAGCCCCCACTCACCACAACTAGAGAAAGCCTGTGATTAACAATGAAGACCCAGCACAACCAAAAATAAAAATTACAAGTAAAAAAAACCCCTTAGTTCTTAGCCTTGACTTATAAAAGATCTGGACTGATTTTCATCTATAACCCTCTGCCTCAGCCCTACCTTCCAACCTCATTTCCTCCACTCCTCCAGCCCCTCTGCCACTCATGACCTCTCCGCAATCCCGCAAATGAGGTATCTGTATCACTGTTTCTCTTCTTGTACCAGTCCTTCCCAGAGAGGCCAGGGACTAGATACACCTAGATCCCCATGGCATCATCCAGAATACGTGACACATAAGGAGTGTTGAATAAATGCCAACCTTCCCTGTTAGTCCCAGAATGATTGTGATCCTTCACTGACTCAAGGGAAAGCCAGAGGGACTCACCCACAAACCGGAATTGGTTTGGAAACATGTCGAAGAGCCCATTGCTGTGCATGGCAAAGAGGATGGCAAAGTAAACCGCCAGGCTGCCCCAGATGAAGAAGTGGTTGATGGCTGTCCAGTAGCCAGTATCCAGTCCAATCTGCAAAAAGCAGTCGTCACAGGCAGAAGGAGCAGCCCCCCAAACCCTGTCCCCCTCCCAGGAACAGAACTGCAGTGCCCAGGGCACCCCAGGGACAGGAGACTCACTCTTTCTGGGAGTGGGGGCAGTTCCCGGACCACCTCCTACCTGCACACTGACCACGATGACCAGCGAGGTGGCCACGGTGACCGCAAAGGACTGGTAGTCAGCTAGCTGGGTGCCGTCATCCCGAGTGGCTTCAGCGAACACCCCATAGGGGATGAAGAACATGAGCACGGATGTGTAGATGCCCTGGGCGATGCAGATGAAGAACTCCCGCTTGTTGAAGAGGAGGTTCAGCTGGCCTGGCTCGTAGAGCTTAGGGTACTCCATGCTCCGCTGCTCCGGGACGTCCTGTGCACAGGGCCAGCAGCACAGGAGGCTCAGGAGCTGCCCACCTCAGGGGGGACGAGGGCAGACTTTGTCCCTGCCTCCTTTTTTACATTCTTTGGCAGCTAGACTCAACCTCAAGCCCCAAGTCAATCTTTGTTCAGCAACCCAGGGGAGTTAAGGTCAGGAGTGGCTGAGAGGGAGGGCCAGTCAGCCACACTCTGCCAGCTCACGGAACTGCTTTTCCAGGGGCCACAGGCAGTAGGGACAAGTGCCACATGCCCACCACTATTGGGTGACCCCCTCTCAGCAATGCCCCTCTTCCCAACCCACTTGGTCACCCAGCTCCCCCATACCTGATCGAAGACCCCCATAGCCAGGACTGGGAGGGAGGTGTACACGATATTATAAAGGGTGATGAAGTACTGGTCATAGACTGTCTGGAAAGAAAAAGGGAGCAAGAAAGGGGTGAACACGCAGTCTCTCTTCACTACAAATCAGGCAGAGGAAGACAGCCAACGTGGTACAGGGGAAGGCCTAAGGAATTTTCTGGAACTTGCTCTCCACTCCTTCAATAAGTCTTTTTTTTCTTTAATGCATGCATCAGACAACAGCTAGACCCTAAGGGGACCAAGCAATGAACAGGACAGACACAATCTCCGTCCCCAAGGAGCTTAAGGACAGGCATGCCACGGGACTGGGGAACTCGTTACCTGGGCTGAGAAGCCGCAGAAGAAGCCAAACCAGAAGTGGACCATGGTGAAAGCAAAGTTCTTGTAGAAGAAATAGCAGAGGAACTTGCACATTCGCAGGTAAGACCAGCGTCCATGCACCAGCAGAAGGCGCTGCAGGAATTTGAACTGGGAGAAGGAGTAGTCAGAGGCCAGCACCGCCTGGATCCCTTCCTGCCCGCTGATGCCCACGCCAATGTGAGCCGCTGCAGAGACAAGAGACGACAGGAAGATGAAGACGGCCACACACTTCAGATTCCCACAATGTTCTGTCTGCACCTTCTGTCATCACTCCTCCCTGGGTCTCTCTCCCTGCCCGAGGGCCCAAGCCGCCACACGGGCACAGTCCACACTCACTTTTGATCATGCTGACGTCATTGGCTCCATCCCCGATGGCCAGGGTCACAGCCTTCTTGTACTTCTTAACCAGTTCCACCACCTGTGCCTTCTGCAAGGGAGTCACCCGGCAGCAGATGACAGCTTTGCAGGCACAGGCCGTCTCCAGAAACTCCAGCTCCATGTCTGCCTCTAACGCATGGGCCTGGAAGACAGATCGCACTGAGCAAACTCCATGTGCTCCAGGAGAGACCTGGGATCAATACCTTTAAGACCACAGCCCCAGTGAAGTCCAGGGAACGGGAACAAGGTAAGACGTAACAGCTGCTCTCTGAAAAGATCCTGCCCAAGCTAAGGGTGGCAACACTCACCAGGCTGTGCCCGTTGATAACTAGGGCATACTCCCCAGCCACAGCTTCCAGGACAGAGGTGAGCCTGGAAGAAGCAAGTTTCTCCTGGTAGGTGAAGCCATTGCCCACAGCACGGGATGAATCCATCATCTTCTCCCGGGCTTTCCTGTGAAGGGGAAACAAGACCATGGTCGGCCAGGACAGGAGCAGGATTCAAGCCCATTCAGCAAACCTGTGCATGACCCCTAGGTATGGTGCAGAGCATCTAGGTCTGTTTACCTGAGCTCCTCTCGCACTTCCAGGACCGTGTGGCCAGTGACGATGAACACCTCTGTCATGTCGTCCGTCAGCATCTTGCAGGAATAGCCAATGTTCACGGCCGTCTCTACCAAAAGAAAGTGCAGGCGCTCTAGACGGGCCCCTGACAAAGTCAGTGCACTTGCCAGCCCAGTGTTCTAGGCTTGCCAGGACCCCATGGGGCTGTATCCAGATGCAGTCTCCTCTGCCCTACAGGCTTCTCACCTTGCTTGTCTCCAGTCAGCACCCAGATCTTGATGTTGGCCAGCGTCAGGAGGGCAATGGTCTCCGGAACCCCTTGCTGAAGCTTGTCCTCAATGGCTGTGGCACCCAGTAGCTGAAAATAACCACAAGGGTCCCTAGCACAAGAGTCTAGGCCCAGGCCCTCCTCACCCACCCTTGACCCACTCTGCAGACCATACCATCATGTCGCTCTCAACCTCTTCATAGACACTGGCCAGCCGGTCCTCCCGGCTATCCTGAGCCAGGCTGGCTTGGAGCCGTCTCCCGGCCCACTCCTCGTAGTATTCTTCATCCAGATCCTTGTAGGCCAGGACCAGGGTTCTCAGCCCTTCGCCCGCATACTCCTGAAGGAGGAAGAAGTCAAGAGAGTCAGTCCCCAGTCCCCTACCACCACACTGAGAGCAGCAGAACCACAGGGCCTCCCTTCCTCATGCCTACATTCAGATGGTCAGTGGTGGTGTTGAGCAGCTCTTGGGTAGAATGATGGAGTCTGTCCAGCAAGATGGTGTCAGCCCCTTTGCAGTATAGTCTTATCTTCCCCTCTGGATTCCGCACTGTCAGTGGGGCAGGGGGAAAATGTCCCAGGAAAGAATGGGATATTCAGATAGGTAAAGCCCCTGAATTGCAACACACCAAGGTCATCCAGTACACCTCACCCATCCCAGGCCTGCATGCTGCCCCCGAACGCCCCCGGCAGCCCGATCCCGGCCTCACCTATGACCGACATCCGTTTGCGGATGTTGTTGAAGTCCAGGATGGCCAGCAGTTGGTAGGTGATGGCGGTGCCCATCTCGTGGACAGTGATGGTTTTGGGGGTACGAGAGCGGAATACAAAACCAAAGTTCCTGGCTGCAGTGACCAAGGCCCCCTCATCTGGCGACTGGGCTTTGTAGTAGAGCTCCCCTGGGCGCGGAGAAGGAACAAGCGTGGTGTTAGTGGCCCCACTCTCAGCCACCAGCTGCGTGTTCCTACCCAGGAAACCCCAGGTGGCCAGGCCACAGGCAGAGCACAGCTCAACCTGAGAGTCCAAGTCGGGTAGGGGAAGCGCAGGCCAGCACCTCGGCTCACCTTCGCTTTTCTCTTCTGACATGACGGTGTGACACAGAGAGAGGAGGCGGAAGAACTCGTGGGTGTGGGGGTCCCCCATCTTGACAGCCTCCAAGAGAGTGGGGTCCCAAAACAAGAACTTCTTGTCAGCCAGAGGATTAAAGGAGAAGTCGACGGGTTCGGGCCTCTGGAGCAGGTAAGAGGACAATCGGGAAAGGGTGGGTCCCCAGGCTGCTTCCTGGGGAGGGGCGGGGTGGTCCCCACCAGGATCCTGTCCACTGCTAACCTCAAGATTCCCACCTGCGCCACCAAGTCTTCCTTACCACACCCATCTCCTCCAAGCAGCTTCCACACCCTAGCCAGACAACACGTCACCCCTGACTATGCCAACCCTGGCCAGGCACCCTGTGTTTAACTAGCACCGAGAACCAGTATGGAGGCTGGACCTTACCTCTCCCAATTCAGCTTTGTGTCCCAGGACATCAAACACGTCACCTACACACGGCCAGGAGAGGAGGAGGAGCAGTGTCAGAGCCAGGGGAGGAGCCGCCAGCACCGAACCCCCGGGCAGCTGGGACCCGCGACCCTTGTGGCTGAGTGAGCGTCACCCAGATTCAGCAGGGCTGGCTAGGAGGAGGGGAGGCACAGGCACCGTGGGTCCTGAGAACGCCAGGACTCAAAGCCATGGCACTCTCGGCTCCCCATCCCCACCTGGGCTCCGGCTCTGCCCACAGGGCAGCTCCAAGGCCACACCCACGCCCCGGGGCTCCAGGCCCCTTCGCTCTTAGGCCCACACACCAGACCAAGCCTCACACCGGGCCTCCAGGCCTGGGTTAGTACAGAAAGCAGTTAGGAGAGGGGCTCACTCGGCATAAAAGACCCCAGGCACCCTGTCCCCAAGCCATCCCAGCAGCTCAGCCACGAGGCCACTGCAGTGGGGCCACGCTGGGAAGGCCACGGTCACATTCCAGAGACTCACAGGGACCCTGGGCAGCAACACGGGGAGAGGCTAGCACTCTGCCAGGGCTGACAAGGTCCCACCTGGCCGGGGGCGCCCAGCGGCCAGCGTCCTGGGCATCTGTTCAAACCACCAAGGAGCGGCCCCACTGCCTGGAGCTGAGAGACGGCACGGGCACCAGCAGAGGAGAGGAGGGAGCACCGTCAGGGTCTGCCTCCTGATCTGGGCGCAGAGCAGACCCTCTCAAGGCCCCACAGACCCCAGTAGGAAAGAAGTAAAGCCCAGATGTCGAGACCAGCATGGGAGCCCCGGCAGCATGGTCCTTCCAGCCCCCAGCCCCAGTGGCATGGCCATACCATAGCTGCGGCCGTTGATGGAGCACTTGTTGAAGACCATGATGTTCTGGGTGAGGGTGCCCGTCTTGTCGGAGAAGATGTACTCCACCTGGCCCAGCTCCTCGTTCAGGGTGGTGGTGCGGGCCTCGGCGGGCGTCCGCTTCTTCATGCAGAACATCTTCTTGTCCCAGTTGATGAAGTAGCTGTGGCCCAGGCGAATGACCTCCACACTGCACAGGGGACAGGAGGTGAGGCTGCGGGTGGGAAGGGCAGCAGGGCCCACCCCCACGGGCCTTCGCTGCAGGCCGTCCGCCGGGGGAGAGACGAGAAGGAGCGGAGTGGACATCTGGGCCAGGGAGGGTGGCAAGGAGAGCCTGAAGGTGGAGCCTGCCACTCCCGACCGGCCAAGGGGGTCCCCGACCCCGACCCTCTGAAGCCCTCCAGACAAAAAGGTGCAAAGGGCCTGGGCAGGCGGGACAGACGGCACAGGCAGAGGAGGACGGACTGCGGACAAGGCACTCGACCAGTTCTTACCTCTGGGCTAATAATACAGAAACCATGCAGAGAAAAGAAGAGAAAGTGCGAGAGGGAAGAAGGAGAAAAAAAAGAGAAATAATGAGGGTGCTGCGCGGGCCACAGCATCACAGACGCCCTGCAGGGAGAGGAAACCGAGGCAGCCCCGGAGCCCCCACCTCCCTGCCCGAGCCCAAGCTGCCCGGCTCTGGGCTGCACAAGCCGACCTGGGGCGCTCAGGGAGCAGGTGGGGCACATTGAGATGCTGACTCCAGAAGGGGATGGGGCCTCAGGAATCCGGGGAGCAACCCCAATCCACACCATAGCGGGGCTCTCCTAAGGTCGGTTCACGTCAGCCTCTTTACAAGGCAAGGCTTTTGGGATCTGGACTGTCAGCATCTCAGAAACAGCCCCACGTCTGGGTCCTGCCAGCCAAGCAATGGGGCCACATCTGGAACCCTGCTTCCCACCTGACTGGGGCTGCTGTCAGAATCCCCTTACCAGGCCAAAAATGAGCCGGTGGGAAATGCCTTCGTGGCCTGTGCCCCACTCAGCTGATCAAGCGTCCCCTCCCTGCCCTCCTCCCCAAATACACACATTGTAACCTGAGGAGATCTAGAGACTTTCTCAGGCAGCTACCATGGGCTTCGCGTGAACTTGGATACAAAACCCAGAGAGCAAAATCCAAAGATGGAAAAAAAATTCAGATTGGAAACAAGAAAAGATTTAAATAGCAACAAAGAACCAGAGTCGCAGATAATGATGGACATGCTACCACCTGATATTTGTACAATAATCTAATTTTTTTAATAGTTTTTTGACCGCGTCACTCAGCATGTGGGATCTTAGTTTTCCCAACTGACCAGAGATCAAACCTGTGACCCCTGGATTGGAAGCACTGGGTTTAACCAATGGACCACCAGGGAAGTCCCAGTAAAAATGAAATTACATTTTAATTTTAATTTTTTATTTATTTTCTAACATTTTAATTTTTAAAGTGTATTTTCCAATCTATTTCTGATACCAAGATGTTTCTATGAAGAGGATGGAACTTGTCCCATTTTACATGAGAAAACCGAGGCCCTAAGCGACTGTGGATTGGCCTGAGGTCACGTGGCTATTGAGCGGGCAGGACTAAACCCCAAGCCTTCTGAGTCTCCTCCTAATACTTTACAGAAACCCCACTGTCCACCCTCAGCACAGAGATTCCTTATCTCCTGCCCACTGTCAGCAGCACTAGGACTCGGGGCGAGTGGGAGATCCAAGGAGCCTGTCTGGGGAATCTATGTGAACGAGAAAAAGCATAAGAGTTCTGAGCATCCCTCTAATGTCCTCAACAATGTCACAGGTTGGGAATCCTGGTGCTTCAGTGGTTAGGACTCTGAGCTTTCACAGTTGAGGGCTGGGGTTTGATCCCTGGATGGGGAACTAAGATACCACAAGCTGCACAGCCAAAAAAATAACAATAAAGTATACAATTTTATAAATTAAAAAAAAGTGACAGGTTGTCTCAAGCACAAGGCACTAAATACAAAGAGACCTCTCTTCTTGCCATTCTTTCTTCCTCCAGCATTCCCCCTTCCTCTCTTTACTTCCTGTTAACATTTTCTTTCCCAAAAATACCCAAGACGTCCTCTTCCTCCTATTTATGCTGTATGCCACTGCCAGCCAACATTTCCTAAAGCATTCTTTAGATTTTTTCTTAAAGAATCTTTTAATGGTTTACTGAGTGAATGTCCACTGGCAGAGATTCAAGATCCTTCACAACAGAGAACATGCTTATGTTCCCAGCTCTCTATCTCACAGGCCCCCACTCAGGGTCCATGCTCCTGCCGAACTGTCCCAGGACCAACCATTCCGAGGTCCCTATCTCCATGCCTTTGTGTCCAGCCCTCTCCTCCAGGCTCACCTTCACCCCTCCCTGCCACCACTCAAAGTCCTGCTCAACAGCCATCTCTTCAGAGATGTCCTCCCTGATTAACTGCATGGGGAGCAATGCTCTTCCAATCTTCATGGCACTCTGTGCCTCTGGGGTATCTCAGTGGGATGCATTGGTGTCTTACACTGTCTGCACCTCTCTTCCTGCACCAGTCTGCTGCTTTTGAAGGCAGAGGCTATGTTATGCATCAACTGTGTCCCCTTGCTTCACACATAAGCATAACACTGAAGGTAGGATGACTGTTAACAGCACTAGTTCCCCTTCTGTTTCATAACGTATTTAGATTTAGCTCCCTCTACTAGACTGAAGCTCCTGGAGGGAAGGAAATCCATTCCTAATACATCTGTGTGCCACCGCACCTAGCCTGCTTCTTTGCAGTCAGCATGTGATAAGTATGAGCTATATAAATCAACATGACTTTTGTTCTAATACAATCCAAAGTGCCAAGAAACTGCAGTGAAGTCTGCTTTGCCCATGAAGATAAACAGATAGCATAAAATGTTCACAGCACAGGAAGGAGAGGACCCCAAGTTCCCTCTCGAGGATTTCACCCTCAGAGAAGAGAGCAGTCTGCCAAAGGACTGCCTGAGCTCCCTGGAGACCCCGCGGCAGAGAGACGGCATACCTGACATAGAGTGATATGGGCACGACGGTGTTGAGGATGATGATGTAGGACCAGAAGGAGAGGAAGCCAGAGAAGAAGGCACTGTCCACCGCCTCATCCCAGGGCAGGTAGACCTGGAAGCGTGTCCCCACCTCATGTTCCCAAATGGCATTGCCAATGGCCAGGATCACCCCCATGCAGACCAGGAATCCAAAAATCTGGAGAGGAATGAAAAGTAGAAGCTAAGCTGCAAAACCAAGGAAGCCCTTAGGAAGTTCTCAAAACCAAGTGAATCCCTGAAGGTTACCACCAGTACCCAGAGCCCTCAAAGGCTCAGGTATCTTAAAATAGTTGCATGCTCTAGTGGGAAGCACCCAGAACTGGTGATCAACTGGCACGTGGCCTTCTCTCACAATGCTTTTCTCAACTGCTTTCTGAGAAAGCTGAAAGGGTTGTGCAGTTTCCACTCAGATATTCTAGAACCCTCAGGAGACCTCAAAGATGGTAAAGGTCGAGGTAAGCTACTTTCAACATACCAAAGAAATCTACTGGAAATCACCCATTTACCAGAGCTAAGCCTCTATAAGCCAACAAAAACACGTTTCTGTAATGTTCATTATCTCATACAGATTGCCAAAAATTAAAAAAAAAATTTTTTTGGCCATACCACGCGGCATGTGGGACCTTAGTTTCCTGCCCCCTGCAGTGGAACTGTGGAGTCCTGACCACTGGATCACCAGGGATTCCCCAACCAAAAAATATTTTTAACCAGGGACACAAATTGTGTCTTCATAAATGTAGACTTAATAGTCAAAAAACCTGCAAAGCTTGAAAAAGAATCATAAGAAAGCTTTCGTGGTTGAAAGAAAAAAAAAATTGAGACCACTGCGTGATTTCAGACATCTATCTTCAAAGCTGCCTCCACTCCAGATGCTTCAAAGCAAAGCAGAAACCATCCTGATGCCCAAGGACCACCAGGGGGCGATAAGAGTCTTGGCCTGATAGCCTCTCAGACTAGGTTTCTGCAAAGCCTTTAAGGCCCGGGAGGAAACTCTCACAGGAGGCTGGCCCCAGCTTTCACAAGCTGGCATGTGGGGGGCAGGCAGTAGGCAGTGGGGGTGAAAGAAGGGGAGCAGAGCTCGACAAGGAGCTCAGATTTCTAGCAAAACAAGAGAAGAATTCAGGAACTGCCAACAACTAAAACAGAAACTTTTCCCTTGGGATCCTTTGCTCTTGGAAGTCAGGGGAAAAGACCCTGTTCTCCATCATCTAAATGGAAATTTTTCTTTTAATTCCCGCTCCATCCCCATGAAGGCCGCCTTGTCCCTGGCAAAAGCAAACAGAAAGTCACGTGCTAGACTAAGTCACCATCATAACTGGAATCCAGAGAACGGAAGATTTGTTTTAACTTTAAGTTGTTGGTTCATACATGTTCCAAAGGTTTTTTAAATAACATCTTCCAAATCCAAAAGGAGCCTGAAATAAACACTGCCTCGGAGTGGTTGACCTGCCAGTGGCTTTAAAGCTAAAACCTGAAGACTGACTACTGACCAGGGAGGAGAGATGGGAGGAACGGGACCCACCCAAGGACAACCAGAAGGGTAGAGGCAGGAACCGTTTGTGGGAAGCCTTACCCAGAGCACCAGTGTGTTCATTAGGCGATCAATACTTGTTCTCTTGAATTTTGTCCGGCCACTGTTCTGCATCAGCTTAGTGTCAGGACCTAGAAAGGCATGGGAAGGGCTGGGAAAGCCAAACAACAGATCTGCCTCTAGGCTTCTGCCCGGGTATCCAGTCTATAGGACATCGGGGTGGATGAGAGGCATGGCTCCAGGACTCGCTCAAGTCTCTCCCCACATTGCTGAAGGCCACAGAGGCACCGCTCCCGCCCTCCCCTCCGTGGCCCGGGGGCTCACCTGCAGAGGTGCCGCTCCCACTCTCCCCTCCGTGGCCCGGGGGCTCACCTGCAGAGGTGCCGCTCCCGCCCTCCCCTCCATGGCCCCGGGGCTCACCTGCGAAGATGACCAGCCCGAAGCACCACTCCGTGTTGCGCAGCACGCAGCCCCGCAGCAGCATGTTCTGGTTGCTCAGGGGGAACTTGTTCTCCTTCCAGTAGAGGGTTCCGCTGAATTTGTCCAGCTTGTTGTTGGGAGGTTCACAGATCACTTCACCTGAAGGGAAGACAGGAGTGCACCTGCTCAAGGTGTGGTCTGTAGCTTGACCACAAGACAACAGCACAGAAAAACCAGCTGCGGCGACAGGGGGTTAGGATGTGGGCCCATCCGCACACTGCTGGTGGGGGTGTGAACTGATGCAACTTTCTGCGGAAGGAAGGAGGCAGCATGAATTCCTATGAAAAGCACACATACCCTCAGACCCAGTAATCCCACTTTGGGGACTTAGTCTACAGAGATAATAGCATAGCTGGCAAGAATTTTATTGAAGCATTATATATTTTTTTTAATTGAAGCATTATCTGAACAGCAAAAGATTGAAACAATTGTACGGTCAGGGGAGAGCTGAATAAATTACAAAGCATCAATTCTATGAAACATTATATAGTCATGAAAAGGAATGGTGTAAATTTCTTTACATAGAGATGTCATAAGATACTTATGATGAATTTAAGAGGTACAGAAACACTGGTTGAAGAGATCTCAGTACAGTATGATCCCACTGATTTATGCTTACATGTCTGTATAAACAGAGAGAAAAGTGTGGATGAATACACACTAAACTGCCAGTTAACCTGACGACCCTGAGGAGGCTAGAGTTGGAGGGCAGGAGAACTTTCTTTTTTATACCCTACCTAGTGTGTCTTGTTAGAAGAAGCATGTATAAGAAATAAGAATGAGCTGAATTTCTCTCAACATATACAGCAAAGAGGCAGCTAGCAGCCATGAGCTCTTGAAATGACCATCAATTCAAAAGTTAAGTGAGAGCCCCCCAGCATTCCTGACCCCCTCAGCAACCCCCAACCCCAAGTCCAGGGAGCTGCATAATCACAGCAAAAAGAAGCCAAAAAGAGAAGGCACAATTTAGATCCCCAAACCCAAGACATCTCCTCTGCCGGAAAGCTGCTTCTCTGACACTACTCACCATCAAACTTGGCAAGCTTACTGATGTCTCCCAATTCCGAGGTGATAGGAATCGCCTGTCGCACTTTCATGTTGGTCTCTCTGGAAGGAGAGTGTCCCTGAGTTCTGATGCCCTTCCTTCCCTGTAGATTCTCCCTGGGGACACCTGACCACAGCGCATCACCACCCCCCAGGCATTCCTGGGTAGGTAACACTTCTACACACCCAAAGCCTTTCTTACCCAGCGATGTTCCAAAACGTACAGACTCCAGACCTGGGAACCACTTTCAGAAACAAGCCTGCTAGCCCACAGGAGGAAGGAGGACTCACTGGGCATGCAACTCACCCGTCAAGTTCTGCTGTCTCTATGTAACACAGCCCATGGGGCTCGCTGCTGGAGAGGAGGAGGAGATCCGCCTAGAAAGAAAACCTAATGAGAAGGCCGAAGACCCAAACCTCCACCCCGTTGGACTCTCTGATGATCCCTCCTTCCACTAAGCACTCTTGGTCTGCTTAGCACCAAGCACATGAACAGCTAGAAAGGAGGCATATTACTATGACACAGAAGCTCCTCACTCAAGAAAGTTTCCTCCCAAGAGTGTTTAAGAGGCAATCGTCAAAAAAAAAGAAGCAATCGTCAACAGGAAACACTCACTCCTTTCTGCAAAGAAAAAAAAAAGGAGAGCCCTGTAGGCCTAAAGGGGCACCTGGTCCCTTACCGCCACAAACTGGTTGTTTTCTAGCTTGATAATATCACCAACACAGACATTCATCCACTGCTCCTGCTGGAGGCTGAGGCAACGAGAAGATAGAAAAAAGGCCATCAGTAGTTAGAGAAGTTCCCAGGGGACCCTCTTCCTTTCCAAGGCCCTCGGTCTTCAACAAGCACTCACATTCCATTGATCAGCACCTGAGACTGACGGTTATTCACTTGGTTATCACTCTTGTGGCGGAACTGAAAAGAGGAAAGCAAGGTTAAGCTACCTTCTCCTGCTCCAAGGGACTGAGATGATCAGTGGGATGCAGAACATGCTGGGTACCACCATGTATACATCCACTCACATGTCTACTCCCTCCCTGACTCCCCCACCCTACTCTCGGTCAAGATATCATAGACCTAGTGGACCAGGTAAGGGATGGTAAGGTCACTGAGGAATTCTGCTAAGTGGAGGAGGGTGAGTTGCAGGGCTGGGGTGGGGTGGGGGGGTGGGATGGAGGGTGAGGAAACAGCTTAAGAAGGAAAACAACTCACATAGTCATCAGTGGCGTCTTTAACAGCTGTGATGGTGAGGACAAGAACCAAAGGCACAATGGTGGTGAACCAGGACAGGGAAGAGATCTGCGGGATCAACTGAAAAAAAAGGACAGAGAACACACACCTCTGAGGTCCTGTCCTTGGCTCCCCCAAACTTTTCTCTTCCTTAACTTTAGTTGGCTTTGTGAATTAATTGCAAAGGGTCTAAATTTACCAGAGGTCGCTTACCTGCAGGATGAGAAGGAACAGGAAGTAGGTATTGGCCACTTCCTGGAACTGCTCAAAGAGGTTGACAGGCAGGAAGGTGAGAATATTGTACTTGGAGGTCTTGATGCAGTTACTCTGTGGAAGGGGGAAGAAAAGATCATGAGGTGCCCTCCAATGCCAACCCAGAACCAGATTGAGGCTGCCCCCTCCACCTACCCTTTTCAAACCTCTGTCCCCCAAAACCAGGAGGTATAAGAGGAGGAAAAAGGAGGAGAGAAGAGAGTCTCATGGGGGTCAATGGTCTCATGGGTTCCCACTTCACTGACAAGTCAGGGCATGAAAAATTCAGCAGAGCAGCAGATGAAAAGTGGCAAGGAGCCTGCCTTCCCCTCCCCCAAGCACCCTCCCACAGTCAGTCTTCCACCCCCACCCGGGACAGACAGGATGCACCTGTCCCTCCTTCCCGACCCAGGAAGAGGGCACAGGCAGTCTGGGGCCTCTCACCGCATACTGGAACTTCTCATTGTATTCTCGGTCATTGGCCCGTGCCCTCCTTTCTTCTTCTGCAAGAGAATGATGCCACAGTCAGGAGCAGACTGACAAGGCCCAACACCTTGTCAGGCCCACCCCACTCTGAAGGCCCCTGGTTCCTTCCACGGCACACAGTTTTAAGGAGTTTAGTGGCACATCTGAGGTGTCACTGAATTCTTCCCTCTGGTCCACCTCTCACCACCAGCCTGACCACTGGGCTCTGCAGGTGTGACACTCACAGGACAGGATGCCACTCTCCTTTCCTCACCAACAACCGTCAAGGTCTCCCACCGGGGGTACCCGGTTTCTCGCCCCCATCCCTTTGATTAACGCTGTAGGAATTAACGGTCCTGGGAATCTCCAGGGGAATAGCAGCTGAAGACACCAAGCTCCCTTGCCCCGGGACCCCCTCAGCTTCAGCCCTGGTACTGCCCTCCTCCTAACCCAGTGGGTGGGGTGGGTGGCAAGACGGAGGGTCATGGTGCCCTGGAACTGCTTTGCGGCAGCATCCCAGCCCCACGTGCAGTCCCCCCTACAGACGCCTCTGCTTGTCACATGTCACCAGCAGCGGCTTCTGACTGGCCCACGATGACATCATCTTATTTCAAAGCTCGTCTTCAAGTAGGAGAGGGGGTGGTCAGGGATATGGGTCATGCAGACTGAGGCAGAGATGAAAGAGGGAAGAATGGGATGTAGTTGAAGCACTCGCTCTCTCACCGTAACCTTTCTTGTGCTGTCTGCACGTATTTCCCCTAAAACAACACATCTGTCACTAACCAAGTGACTAAAGAAATACACCTATTCTGAACACCCACAGATCTGGGACTGCAGGCACCAAGCTCGGGTCCCAGAACATAGAGGTGTCCTAGATGGGTTCTCCAGCCCATCTCTGGTGGTCAGGACCACAAGCTGAAAAACAGGGTACCCTGGTTAGGCAGTAAACATCAGGACAAATCTGTCCTGGAGTATAAAGCAGCATTCCAGATGCCTTCCCTTGCTCTCCTCAGCACCCTGCAGAGTACACTGCAGTAGCAAAACCTCAGACCACAGCATCCTCTGCCTACCCATCCTCTGCCTCCCTGCCTGGTCACTTTACTCCCAAAACTTCCCCAAAGGGGACCCGTCAGGCTGAGTCGCCTGCGCAGTCAACAACGAGCATGCAAAGGGAGCGGTAGAGCCAGACCCTTCGGAGCCGGGATCTCTGGGTCTGCAGAGGATATGGGAACACTGGGGGTAGGCCGGAGACAAGCGAACGGGAGGGTGGGGGGAACTAAGGGCTCAGGAGAGTTGCCAATAGCTGCCTCCCGTTACCTGTCCCCCAGGAGGGCTTCTTTCTGCTCCAGGAAGGGGGCGCCCCGGCCCGGGCCCACTTCTCGGGCATCTCCTTGGGGACCGTCATGATCCCAGTTTGAGCGGGGGAAGGGCGGGCTGTCTGTCGGTCTGTCCTCGGCCTCAGCGGCTCCGATGGGGCGGCCCCCCGGGGACGCACAGGAGCTGCGGCCGCTCAGAGGGGAGCCCCGGCCGTCGGGCGCGCGCCCCACCTGCAGCCCCGGCCATCCTCGCGGCCGCCCGCACCCGGCGACGCCACGCGCTCAGATGCGCCGCCGCCGCCCCCCATGCCCCCCGCGGACGCAGGCGCGCTCTGAGTGGCCCGGGACTCTGCGCGCACGCCCCAGGCTCCGCCCCCACCCGCTCCCCCGACTGCAGGGGCAGCCGCCTGCCAGCGCGCCGCGTAGGCGAAAGCCAGCACCGAGCCCCGCCTCCCTCAGCCCGGCCAATGCGGGTGAGGGGACTGCCAGCGTTGTCCAGGGCAACCGCTTTCATCCCACCGCCTCCCACCCCCACCCCCGCCCGCAGGAAAACAAGAAGGACCGGGATGGTTGGAAAAATGAGGGGAGGAGATGAAGTGCGAGGACAGAGGGGTGACGGTGGGAACACGCAACCCGGACTCCCCAAAACAGAGAACAGGCGCTCCAGGTGCCCCAAGATAAAAGTCTATGTGTTTGGGGGTGAAGGGCAAGTCCTCAGCAAGCTCCTGGGGGAAAAACCAGCTTAGAGAATCAAGGGGAAGAATGTGGTTTCCTAAGGCTTCCCCCAGGATGGACAGAGGCTGCAATCTACCCTCCTTCACACCCATTACCTGCCGTCCGTCCTCCCTGTGCTCCCTGAGCCATAAAAACAGCCACCCCAGGCAGGCCCAGGGACCCCCGAGCCCCGCCTTCGGACTGTCTTACCTGGGGGGCGCTTCTTTGCGCACAATGCCATCTCACCCAGCAAGGTCCCAGCAATCCCATGGGAGACCCTGGAGAAGGTGACACAGGCGTGAGGCCAGGAAGCTGAGGGCAACCCTTCATTCCCCTTTCCAGACTCCTCCCCAGTGCCCATCCCGCCCCTCCCCAGCCTTCCCCAGGAACTCCACACCAACTCTCTGCTCTCACTGCCCCCACAGGTCCCTGAAAAAGAGGCGACTTCCCCACACCTCCCCCGATGCCTCTGCCTTGGATAACATGGGGGGGACTGACACTTAATAAAAACCAAGACCTGCAGGGAAAGGAAGGGCACAAAGAGAAGGGGCCAGATATGGGCAGGAAGGCACAGTTCCAAAAGAAGCCAGCCCGGGACCACGGATGCCCTGAGTGCTCTCCTGGTGGCATGAGTGGGTGCCTGTGTTTACTGGAAAGCAGGATTTCCACCAAGCGGTGGGGCTGAGGGAACATGAGCCAGGAAACACCTGGCAGAGCATCAGGAAACGGTGGGCAGGCACCACCCTTCTCAAAAAGCTTATAATCTTCTCACTCCCCCCTCCCCACTACTAAGGCTTCCATTATCACCTACTCTAGGGGAGTTCACTGTAGAGGCATGGCCTTCACTTCCTGCACACAGTCCCCAAACCACTTCCTCTCAGTCTGGGACAGCTGCTCTTCTGGACCAACAAAGGGGTCTTCTCAACCCTGATGGACAGGCATCCCTCTCTCTCTCTTCCACCCCAAGCCTAGTCTAGTCAGTATGGCACTGGGTTGCAAGCTCAGGGAACATCAGATAGATTTCTGCTTCATCTCCCCATGTTCATCCTTTCACCTAAAAAGGTAAAAGGCCTGGCCTGTAAGACACAGTCACAGAGCCTCATCCTAGCCTGACCCAAAGGAAACTGCGAGCCAGGTCCTGGGTCCTCTAGTCACCTCCTTTTTCTTTATCTGGGTGGAGAGCCTTCCTCCCCTTTGGTTTCCCTGTCTCCAGCCTCCTGGGAACACTCCTCCAGCCTGTCAGCCCCAAGAGATACTAATTGTCTGTCTGCCCAACCTCTATAATTACACACTCTGGGCAAGGCCGTCACCCACACCAGTTCTTCGTTCACTAAGCTGGACTCCCTTCCTGAACCCCAATCAGGTAATACTTCTCAGACCCTCCCCAACCCTGGCAACCAGGGGTGCCTGGCTCAGGAATAAAAACCTCTTCCAAGATGCCAAGCCCTACTACAGGGCCCCCAGCCAGGGTCTCCACCCAGTCTACAGTATGAGTCATAGGAGGTGGGGCATGAAGAGAGAGGTTAAGAGAGAGGATGCAAGGGTGGGCATCACAAGTTCCATAGCCAGCCCCGCCCTCATCTAGAAGCACTCTCAGCCCCAAGATCTGGGTTTGAGTCCTAAGAAAGAGTTAATGAAGGAGCGGCAAGGCTCTCAGGAGTCAGGAGCCTGGACACCAACCAGGAAAGTTGTTTTACCTCTGAGACCCTGGGGGGACTGAGAGCTGGCTTGGCCCCAGACTTCACCCCCTCTGGGGGGCCATGATAGAAAGGAAAGGGCGGAGGGAGACCTGGGAACAGGGACCCTCTCTCACTGCTCCTTCCCAGTCTCACACATTCTAGGTTTTCTGAACCCAGGCCCATTAGCCACGTCGCTCTGCCCCGTCACCCTGCCCCAGCCCCCTCTGCAGCCACATTTGGGATAAAAATAGCCAGCTCTGGGAAGAAGGCAGTGCTCCATGGAGGAAAACCGGCTCCTCCTTTAGGCCTGGCCCCTGCTCTCCTCCAGCCCAAACCCAGGAAGCCTGACCCCTTGTTTCAGAGGAAGCTGGCCAGGGATTTTTTTGGGCAGGTCAGGGAAACAGAAGGGAAGGGAATCCAGGACCCCCAGCTCACTTGCCACCGACACCTGGCCGCTTTCCGTCGTCAAGGACAGAACCCGGGACTCACTCCCAGCTCCCAACTCCCAGCGCTGCCACCTCTCCTTGAACCTCGGTTTCCTCACGCAGAGACCTCCACCTTACAGAGACAAAGCCTACTATTCCCTAACTCCCTTCTGCAGGCGCCCAAACCTTCGGACCCCGAGTACGCTCCTGACCCCCAAAACTCTCCGGGCGGTTCTGAGCTCGTCCGCGGCACTCCCGCGCCCCTGCGATGGTCTCCCGCGCCCCGCCGGCACCCCACCCTCCCGTCCTGCGGACGGCCTCCTGAATCTCGCCCACTCTCAGGCACCCAAGACCATCTTCCCTCCAGTCATCCAGTCCCTCCCCTCCACCTGACCGCAGCTCCGACTCCCCATTCCCTCCCTGTCCTCCCCGGCCACTCCAACCCCGAGTCCGCAGCCGCATCTCCCCCTGCCCTCCCGGCGCCGCGCTCCTGGGCTGCTGCCCCCGCCTCACCTCAGCGCTCAGCGCTCGGCGCCCGCCCCGGCGGCCCCGTCCTGCCCATGCCGGGGGCTGGGGCGGGGGGCGCTCGGTGGGGAGGGGTGAGGAAGGGGGAAGGCGGGAGCCGCCATCTTTGTGCGGGGCAGGGGGAGGGTCTTAACCCCGCGGATGCTCCGCACTGCGAGGCCGCGATCCCCGCCCCACCCACTCCCAGATGCATCCATCCCAGGTCCAAAAAAATTAAAAGTCTGGAGGCGAGATAGCTCTGAGATTTTTTATTTTTAATTTGAAAAAAGGGAAACAGAAGAACGCTGCTTCTCTGCTAAAAGAGACCTCTCTTCGTCGGGGAGGTGTGTGAGAGCTGAGGACGCGCTGAACGATGAGAATTTTCCTCCGCGCCAGCTGGCCTTTACTCCTACTCTTTCCGCTCGGGGCCTTCTGCCCCTTCGCCTTCTCTCCTCGCCCTGGCTCATCTCTTCTCACTGTAGTTCAGCCTCTCCTTGAATGACACAGCTCGGAATGCCTAGGTATGGGGTCGTGCCTCAGTTTCTCCATCTTGCTCTCGCAGTCTCCAGCCACTTGACTGGCTGTGTTCTTCTGGCGGCCCTCCCTTTCCCGTCCCCCCCACCCCGTCCCACGCCCCCTTGGTGGAGGCGGTTTTCCTACCACCAACCCTAATTACTATCTGCGGGGTGGCTGAATCTGGGCAAGGCGCCCCAGTCAGCTTAAAGGCGGGCGGCGCTGAGGCTACGCGATCTGGGAGTCAGTCAGTGGGGGCCAGGCTTTGGAAGAAGTCCCCTGGATTATGCCCTGCACAGGATGGTCGGCCCCCACCATCCTGCAGATTCCCGAAGCCTTCCCAATGCGGTTTCCAGGGTGCGCACCCTCTGGCGGCTTTTTGGAGGAACTACGTTCTTGGAAGTCCGGGGTCCGAAAACCTGCGTGAGCAAAGAGGGGATGAGAAGCCTTAGTCTGGTACCTGAGCCTCCTCGTTCTCCCTCTCCAGGCATCCTCCCCAGTTTAGGAGGAGGAGATGCCTAGATGAGTACACAGAGAAGCTGCCCAGGGCCTGGCGTATTAATAAAGAGAAAGAACATCTTGTCACCAGGCATGGGGTATCTGGCCCTCTCAAGTGTCCATGAGGGAGGTGAGGACTGTCTTGTCAGAGTCACAGCCTACTCTCCTGCAGCTGAGTTGCGGCCTGCCTTCCCGAGTCTGAGGCTTCCTGTAGATCCTGGGATGGCTGAGTCCTCAGGATTGTGCTGTGCCACCAGCAGCTGGTATGTGGCTGTGCCAAGCGTGGCCCCCGCTAGAGGGCCCACCACAGGAACCCACCACAACCATTGCCAGCACTGCCAGACAAGAACAGAAGGGAGATAACAGGGTGAGTCCCTTTGACTTCCCTCTGAAGAACTGAGGGTATTTGGAAAACTCCCTAAAGCAGTTCCTGGGGTGAGAGACACCAGAAAGAGTGTTGTGGCACCAAAGCATAGCATTTAGAGAGGATGAGACCCCAGGAGAGCTTGATCTTTAGGGATTATCTGATACATGCATTTTGTCAAACACAACCTCTAAATCTTACTGTTTCAATGAAAAGAGTAAAAGGGGAGAAACGGGACAAGACATAAAGGGAGAATTGGGGCTTAGACGAGGCTCAAACTGTCCTGAGATGCCAAGAGAACTCTATTTAAAAAGAGAGGGCTGGAGACCCAGGGTCAGAGCCCTTAGCAGAGGGATGTGAGTGGAAGGACAGCACCAGGGGAGTCCATCTCCTACCTGAACACTTCAGGGCCCCATCCAGCTACGTAGGTGAAAAGCCATGGGCCGAGGTCCTGGGCGGGGTTGATTGGGAGCCCACAGTTGGCACCCATGGATAGCATGATGGCCAGGATCAGTAACCCCACTATCACAGCCTCCAGACCTGCAGGCACTCCCTTGTTCTGTGTGTTCAGGATGGCCAGGACCCCCACCATCAGCATCCAGGTGCCTAGAACCTTGGAGTCGGCAGAGGCAGGGGGGCTCCTATCAGCCGCCAGGTTCTCCACCTGCCCTATCTCACCCAAACACTCCAGGCTGCCACCCCATGGCATCTGGCTTTGTCCAACTCAGGCAGCTGGGGAAGGTAAGATGCAAAGATAAAGCCAGCCCCACAACCCACCCAGAGCCTAAACAGCAGGCCGAGCTTCCAGGGGGCAAAGGGCAAAGGTGTGGCTTTCCCGGGTCACCCTCTTATGCCTACCTGATCCAGGAAGCCATTGCTCAGAGATAGACAGGGGGCAGGGTAGGTAGCAAAGATGGAAGCCATCTCCTTGGGACCAGCCACTGTCAGATTCCCACCTGTGTAGTTCTGTAGATCTGTAGAGTAGGGGACACCCAGGATTTCCATCTTTGCTCATTCAAGACTGCTCTAAGGCGTTGTTAAGCACACACAGGTGCCCCCAACCTTGTTTTCTCTGTGACCATAATAGAGAGCATAGGTGACTCCAGAGGCACAGAAAGCAGACAGCAACTGCACCAAGGAGTAAATGAGAAACTTGGCCCAGGGGAGGCGTCCCAGGAGGCACATGGGCAGGGAGAAGGCTGGATTCAGGTGGGCCCCTTCAAGGATCAAGAAAAGAAAGCCAACATCCATTAGGTGTCACCATCAGGCACTGTCACCAGTAACACTGCTAGTCCTCCCCACAACTCTCAAATCAAATGTTACTATTCTCATCACATACGTTAGGGAGTTGAGACTGAAGGAGGTTAAGCGACTTGTTAAGGTCATGCAGTGAAGCCAAGTTCAAACCTGGGTCTGTCTGCTCTTTCTATTACAGTACTTGATGCAATGTGCATCTGAGGAAGAGGCTGGTGAAGTCTTAAGCAAAGATGAACCCCAGAGGGCTTAGGTAGGAGACGCAAGATGAGTGCATTTACCCATGATGCCTTGCCATAGAGCTCTGTCTCCCTGAGCGGAGGATTAATGTGAAGTAGGAGGGCAAGGGAGAAGGGACTGGACTGGGCCAAAGGCATATCTCAGTCCAGGGCACTGGTCAAGCTCAAGGAGATAATGTCTGTGAGTCACCAAGGGATCCGCCTTTTCACTGTTACCAAGCTCAAGTGCACGTCCTACCCTGTCTGATGACCAGACTTCACCCTCCTCACCTGAGACGTTACCACTCACATAGATGGCTAGTATAACACCCAGAGAGCCAGCCAAAAACATGGTGAAGAAGTTTCCTTTGGTTCCTCCACTGGTGACAGCCTGGGCTGAAGACCCCTGTATGAGGAGCTGGTGGAGAAAAGAAACATGAGGAAGAGGGAACCAAGAATAGGGAGCCTGGGAGACCCATAGGAGAGAGAGACTGGGAAGAGAGGGGAATGGCCAAGATTGATGAACGGACTTGAGGGATCAGCAGGAAAAAACTGAAAGGGGAAAGAGAAAAGATGGGAGAAACAGAGGGAGAGTAAAGGAGGCGAAGGAGGGTAAGAGATGGAAAGTGACAGGAATAAAAATGGGAAGGTAGGGGAGAAATAGAGGAATAAGAGCAGGAAATAGAGACTGATGGAGGAGCTGTCTTCTAGTACACCAGAGGAGGAGGTAAGGACACTAGGAGGAGCCCACCTCCCTTCTTTCCTCCCCCTCAATGAGACTGCCTGCCACGAGCACAAACACAGCCAGAAACTCCTCCAGGCACTGCCGGGCCAGGAGGCTGCGGATTCAGAGCCAGTCCTTGACTTCAACCAGAGACTGCATGGAGACCATAGTGGGGACACTCTGTCCTGGTCACCGCTCCCTCCATCTGCATAGACACACTGCTGCTACACAGCTCCTGCCTGTCAGGGGCAAAGATAAGGAAAAGACTTTAAAACCAGTTAGCTCAGTTACTGACCAGCAGCTGATGTCTGTCTGTGCATGAGTGGAAGCTCGGGAGGACCGAGATAACAAAAGAATGTCCGTGGGCAGAATTTGCACAGCCAGGGTCTGGAGTTTGCCCAGTCTGTCTCCTCCGTCTCGGCCTCAGGCCTCCCAGGAGTAAGGAGCCTCCTCTTATGCTGACAAACTGCTCGGAGTAGCCTGCTTTATGTGCATTAGCTCTCTTGGTCCTCAAACCAGCTGTGGAAAGTACCACTCTACTACTGTCCTGAGGATGAGGATACACTGTACTGAGAGAGCCTTAGACTTCCCCAGGCCACACGGCTAGTTAATAGCTAAGCCAGGTCTTCTGACTCTCCGTCTGATATTCCACAGTGCCTCTCCTGTGGAATGTGAAGTCTTTCCCCCAGCCATTTGGATGCTTGGAAAATTTAACATGCATCCAGGGAGACTGGACTGAAGACCATAGGCTGCAGGAATAAAACCCTCATCAGGAGCGCTTGTGGCCTCCCCTTGACTAGAGAATGCTCTACCTTGTGTCTCTAGCCTTGGCTCCAAATGAGGGCTTCATGCCCCCACTGAGCTCCACGTCCCCTTCTCTGGATGCTTGCCACTCGTATTCTGCTTAACACGTAGCCACTTCCTACTTCTTAGTATTTCAAGCCTCTAAGATTCATTCAATGATAAATCAAGCTCTAGCCCCTAGGGAAACATAGTTTCTGCCCTCCTAGAGCTGATGCTCTAGTAGGTGGAAGTAGACAATACATAGACTTTTTTTTTTTCCTTTGCACCATGCCGCATGTGGGATCTTAGTTCCCTGATCAGGGATTGAACCCGTGCCTCCTTAACCACTGGACCTCCAGGAAAGTCCAATATACAGGTTTTTCAAAATATATTTTATGTCGTTTATGAGGTTCTTGAGAGCTGGACTGTATAACCCCAGGGGCAGGGGTGGGGGTGAGGGGCTCTAGCACAGTCCTGGGCACATCTCTGTGAAATAATACTTCTTCCTGGGTTTAGTGGATATTATGGTACTCCACCCAGGTCCCCTGTTCAGAGCCAGTGCACCCTTCCCCAGCTTCTGGGAGTAACAGACCCTGAGAGCACATGGCTTCTTCCCTCATGGGAGTGACTCCTGTGGCAGGAAAGTGCGTCAGCCAAGGTCACGTGCCCCCCATAGGGCCCAGTGAATGAATGGCTGATGCAGGGATTCAAAGACCAAGCAGAGTTTGGTAGTGTTGCACATAGACCTGGCTGCCAAGAGTGCTGGATCAAACGAAGTGGAACATGAAGTTAGATGTGGAAGAATTTATTGATAAGGGAGCACTCTCCTGGGACTTAGGATTTAATCCTGGCAAGTTGCCCCTGGAATGTTGGATGAATACTCTTCTGGGACGCTTGGGGAAAATGATAGCTCATGCTAAGAAAAGTAAAAATGTCTAAACAACTCATTTACGTTGATGACCATTATTGAAAAAAGGGAGAATACTCAGACCTTCTGAGGGTTTCTGGACAAAGGATCTGAATTAACATTGACAGTTGACAATCCAAATTTGTACCATGGACCCCTGTTAGAGCAGTAGCACATGGGCCCCGGATAATAAATGGAGTCCTGGGCTAAGGTCTGGTTCAGAGGATATTCACTGAGACCAGGGATCCACCAGGTGGTCACTTCCCTAAAACCCTAACATGTAATAGCAGTGGACTTCCTTTGGCGTTGCAGAGCACTCATAGTGGTTTTTGACCTGTAGAGTAAGTGATGAAGGCCAACTAGATGCCTGAGACTACCCAACATCAAGAGAACGAATAAAAACAAGACCGTATCCTAGGGAAAATGGAAGAGGTTAGTGCCACTCTCCGAGACACAAAGAATAAAAGAGAGGTGGCCCCTTTCATATCACCACTTTGGCTCTTAAAAACTGGATAGATCATGACAGATGACAATGGTCTACCATAAACTTACTTAAACAGTAACTCCAATTGCAATTGTTGTGCCCCAAATGGTAACTTTACAGGGCAGTTTAATACTGCCTCTAGTTGGGAGTATGTGGTCATTAATCTGGTGAATATGTTATTTTCCATCCCAGACAGATCAGAAAGGAGGTCCACAAGCAGTTTCATACACATGGGAAGTCTAGCAATATCCACTTACAGTCTTACCCCAGGACTGTGTTAACTCTCTGGTCCTCTGTTGTAATAGAATCTGAAGGGAGCGTGACTATTTGGACATTTTGAAAAACATCATATTGGTCCACTATACAATGGACCGTTGAACAACACAGATTTGAACTCTGTGGGTCCACTTATATATGGATTTTTTCATTAAATATATATTATAGTACTACATTATCTGCAGTTGGTTAAATCCATGGACACAGAACCATATATACGGAGGGCTAACTATGAAATTATACTTGGACTTATGACTGTGCAGATGGTCAGAACCCCTAACCTCTGCATTCTTCAAGAGTCAACTGTATATATAACATCATGCTAACCAGATCAGAAGAGGACTAAACGAAAGTATATTGGAGGTCCTGGAAAGATACATGATGAGAGGGTGGAAAATATTCCTGTAAAGGTCCAGGAAACTGCCATACTGGTGAAATTTTCAGAGGTCCCAGAGGTTCTGGGACATGCTAGATATCCTCTCTGAGGCAAAGGACTGATAGTTGCACCTCATATCTTCCATCACTAAGAAAAAACACATTACCTATTTACTCAGGATTTAGGAGAAATATATTTCATGCTTGAGAATACAACTCTGAAAAATTTACTTGCTGACAGTGACGGCTGTCAACTTTGAGTGGGGCCAAAGCAAAAAAAAGGCCCCTGCAGTCATATGACCCAGCAGACCTAGTGAGACTAGAATATCTGTAGTGTGTGTGGTTTGGCAAGCTCTAATAGGAGAATCATAATGCAGACCCACAGGGCTATGGAGCAGAGCCGTGCCATCGGCAGCAGAGAAGTGCATAGCATTTGAAGAGCAGCTCTTACAGCTCATTAGGTGACCCAATAGCCAGAACTGCCCATCACAAGCGGGACTCTACCTGACCCTCTGTGTCGTTGGGAAGGGTGGTCCCGGCAAGAACACATTGTAAAATGAAAGTGTCATCTTTGGGTTAAGGCATAAGTAGGGTCAGAGAGCACAAGCTAGCAGAAAATAAGTGACCCAGACTCTCATGTCATTCAACAAGCGTCTCTCTCTCTCAGCTCACATGACCCTATGGAGAATCATCTTCATCCATTTGGGCTTCTGTAACATAATACCATAGACTGGGTGACTTATAAACAAACCTATATTAACCTGATAGCTCTATAGGCTGCTAAGTCCAAAATCAAGGTGCCAGCAGATTGAATGTGTGGTGGCGGCCCATTTCCTGTTTGATAGACAGCTGTCTTCTCACCATGTCCTCACATGGAGGAAGGGGCAGAGGAGCCCTCTGAAGTCTCTTCTGTAAGGGAACTAATCTGATTCATGCTCTGCCTCATGCTCTAATCACTTCCCAAAGGTCCCACCTCCAAAATACCATCACATTGTGGGTTAGGTTTCAACACATGAAAGGAGGGGGGCACAGACATTTAGTCTATGACCGGGATCCCTTGTGAACGAGGGATTAGAGAAGGAATAAGCTTGTTCAGACATGAGTTGGCATGGTATGTGGGTAAAAGCCAAAAATTGACTGCTGCTGCATTGCAACCCATCAGGAGTGGCCCTAAAAGATAGTGGTGAGGAGAGATCCTTCCAAAGGACAGAGATTTAGACAGTACATCTGATCATCCACTTTTTGTGGAACAAGAAGGTGAGAATATACATAGTCACAACTAGCCTGGTAGTCTGGTCAGGGGTTGAAAAGACAAAGAATGTAAGATTAGGGACAAGAAGGTCTGAGGATGAGATGTGGATGGACCTATGGGTGTAGTCTTCAAGTGTAAAGGTCTTTCAATCACACGTTAACACCCATCAAGAAAGCATCCATCGGACGTCCCTGGCAATCCAGTGGTTAAGACTCTTGCTTCCTCTGGAGGGGGCACCGGTTTGATGTCTGGTCAGGGAACTAAGATCCCACATACCTCACTGCTCAACGAAAAAAGGAAAAAAGAGAAGGAAAGAAAGTATTCATCACAGAAGAGACACTAAACAACCAAGAAGGCAGAAAGACTTAGCCACTGTCCATCATCAACCACCCAGTTCTGTATGATGGATGCACTGGGTAGAGTGACTGAGGGTAGGACAGAGGTTATCCAGGGCCCAGCAGCATGAGCTTCTGCTCCCTGAGGCTCAGCTAGCTACTGCTGCTGCCAACATGCAACTACCATTAAAAATACCAACACTAATGGGACTTCCTGGTAGTCCAATGGGTAAGACTCCAAGCTGCCAGTGCAGGGGGCCTGGGTTCGAGCCCTGGTCAGGGAGCTAGGTCTCCCATGCCCCAGCTAAGTATTTGCATACCACAACTAAAACTTGGTGCAGCCAAATAAATAAATATATATAAATATAAATATAAATATAAATATATATATATGTTTTAAAAATATTAGCACTGAACCCCTAATATGGTGCAATCTCTTGAGGAGAAGAAGTAGATAATTAGGGATAAGTTGGGGACACTAGATTTCCCATCACTTTTGACTGGGATTGACACATATTCCAAGTATAGGCTTGCCTTTCCTGCCCACAGGGTCTTGGTAGGGTCTTATACCACTTTATAAGGACTTATAGAGTACTTGATCTATTGGTATGGAATCCACATTATATAATTTTAGACAAAGGAACCCATGTTAGGGGAATGTGGCAGTGGGAACATGACCCAAAGATCCACTGATCCTATAGTGCCCCACCC